CACACACACGGACTGCGACCACCCCTATCACTCTCCATACCCAGTCATGTAAATGTATGTAATCATTGTATTCATTAAAGGGTCAAATGTATTTCTGTTTCTTTTATATTCCAACATGCTTCAAATGTAACTTATTGTCCACAAAATAGCAATTTGCCTGCAGCAACTGAAACATACTCTTTAACATATAGGGCCAGAGGTGGCAAAAGTACACATATTGTTTACACAAGTAGACAGGGGCGTGTCCAGAGGAGGGGGCCTGGTGTAACACTGGCCACCCAATTATCCTTATCTCTTCCACTCCGCAATGGCTTTCAGAGCCTTTAAAAAAAGGTTTTAGAGTGAAGATACCGGTGTCATACGAAAGTAGATGACCTAACACATCAATTGGTACCATGTCATGCTAGCATGTTGGAAAGTGGGCTAAATAACACTCCAAAGTTAGGGTACATGGAAATGGAAAAACTGGCATGGCTATTTTCAAGATGACCTCAAGATATCTGAATGAAAATTGGTTCTCTGGGTCCCCACATCATCTTTGCAAACATGCCAACTTTATGCTAACCCCATGGAGTTTTTGCATGTGACACACTATAAAACCTGATAAGTTCATTTAATTTAAAAATTGATTACATATGATAACATTAGGCTCATAAAACACATTTAAACACATTTATACAATCCAACGCTGGAGTCTTGAAGCAGCTTTTTGACGTAACCCTGAGTACAAAGAATTGCAATGGTCTAAGCGTGAGAAAATAATGCCATGGATGACCTTTTCAAGATCAGGCCAAGAGAGAAAGGACCTGATCTTTGAGAAGCTCCTTAGCTGATAAAAAATACGTTTGAACATTTGTGATCACTGTCAAATATTCCGCCCAGGTTTCAGAATTTTTCAAAAAGTATGAAAATTATAAGAATATATAATACAGACAGAGAATTGTATAAAAAGTTCCTCAAAATATCAGGAAAACTCATCTCTGTCATTGTGTTCACTGTTTGGGTTCATTGTTCAGTTTATTAGTTGTTCTGTACTGTTATGTATAGTTATGCACTGAATATCACTTCACTTTGTCAGATTACTCAATGATAGAAAGGGTTTCCTTATGGAAAAATATATAAAATGTTTGTATACATCTTATAAATGCTGGGTCTGTCAAAAGCTGAACTAGAATGTTAAAACTGATGAAATAACATGTGAACTCCAGAGGACTGCTGAAGGCATTCGATGAATTTGTCTCAAAGAGTCTTGTGAAGACAAAGTGGAATTTAAAAAAGCTTTGTTCATGGAGTGCAGTGTAGCAGAGGCTGAGACGTGTGGAATGTGTGTGTGAGTGTGTGTGTCAACCCTGGTGTCACAGCCCTCCGCTCTGCTCTGTAATAAGTCTTTGTGTTTATGGATGTTTGGTGTCTCAGGGATTGGCAGGGCCACGGCTCTGGCTCTGGCGCGCTGCGGGGCAAAGGTCATAGCGGTCACACGCACGCAGGCCGACCTGAGCAGTCTGGTGCAGGAGGTACCCACACGCACACACACACCCTCCTCTGTTCTATCTGTGCCATTGTGCTGTTCATCTTCATTTATTGCCTCCTCTTGACCTCTTCATCACTGGATGAGGTGGAAGAGCAGCTCTCCTCTGGCTGATTTGGTTTGTAGCTCATGTAGTTTTTACCCATATGATGTAGAAACATGAAGTTCTTCTGAAGTTGTATGATGGATGTTTATGACTCGTGAACTGCCATTTAAATGAGCACAAAACTGCTTGTGTGAAGGTTAAATAAAATTTTTCAATTCAGTTAAATTTTATTTGTGTAGCGCATAACAGAAGTTATCTCAGGACACTTTTCAAATAGAGCAGGTCTAATATCTTGTTATAATGTGGAAAAAAACATCTTGTTACACACATTTTAATATGATACTAATCTCTTTTTCTTTTTCAGTGTGGCAGCAGTACACTTCCATACAAATAATTATGGAACTGACTGTATATGATATGGAAGAACAAACACTGATTCATGAAAAATGGGGGACATGGAGCACAAAGAGACTACTAGAACTTCTTTATAAAGGAAGTAAAGAAAGAAAATTGTATCAAAATGCACAAATGTGTTTGGTTTGTAATAACAAATTGAAAGGAAATAGAATTTAAGTAAAAAATAAAGAAAAACATCCATTACTGAGTTCAATTTTCTTGACGCTGTCTCCACTATCAAAAGTCTCAAAGAAAACAGCCCTGTTCTGACCTTGTTACAATGTTAAGGAAGTACACTATGGCTATATTGTATGGCATAGGTGCAGTGTTAACCTTTCAACACAAATTCCCCTTTAATCCCTGTGGATATTTCTTATTCCTAAATAGTACAACAGTATGAAAATGATATCATTATTTCAGTTTATCAAATCTTTAAGGAATAAATCAAATAAAATATTCTAATATTCTTGGGACTATTTGAGTGGGATGTGGAAGGTAATCTTACAATTATTCCTTCCTCCTGTGTGGAAAGTGAGTATCATCTGATAATAATCACCACCAAGCCTGTTCAGGTCATTCCACTCAGACTGGCACAGTACCAGGGTGTTACCTTTCAGAGGATAGCTGGGCACATGTGTGTGCCTGCTTAGCTTGGAGGGGCTGTATGCTTTTTAATGCATGCGTGTATGATTGGTCACCTACCCAAATAACTAAATATAAATGCAACAGAAAATTTAAAAATGGCACTTTGTCAAGCATCTCTCCTGAGCTCTGTATCATTTTACAAAAGGCATTTTCCCTTTCCTTTCTTTTTTTACTCCGGAATGCTGTCTTAAAGGAGGTGGTTTCTGCTTTCGTCTCCATTTGTTCTCAGCAGGACTCAGTCAAACACTAGACTGAGCTGAGGTGACCTAATAGTGGCTGTGATATACTTCTGTCTTACTTTACCAAACATAGGGTGCTATCATTGAACAGATCACTGGTAGCATTACATGATAAAACAATACCATCCCTCTGTGGGCCAGCAAGCCTTCAGACAGTAGGAACAATGGCAGCTTTGTCAGGAGTCTGTACAGCTCTGTCTAAAAATATCTGAATGTTTAGTCCTCTCCTACCTGATCCAGCACCTCCATAATGTCCCACCTAAATCAAACATGTGCACATGATGAATTTGTGCAAAACATATGAATGTAGCTCCCCTGGATTCAAGAAACCACATCTTGATCCAGGATCTTGACCAGTCTCTGTAACCTTCCGCTCTTTTCAAAAGTACTACAAAGAGTTGTGTCTCGGCAACTTTTAGCCCACATATTGAACAGTAATCTTGTTGAATCTTACTTACTATGGATTTGGATTCTATCTCAGTGCTTTTGTGATTGGGGGTGCCATATGCTGTACAGATTGTACAGCCTTTTTAGGCAAATTTATGATTTGTATTATTGGGCTATGAAAATAAGATTGAACTAGCTTGACTTCAATGAAAAAGCTGCTAGTGCTGGTGATCCTGATTGGCATCACAACACACAAGGACGAGAACAACAAGCACAATGTATGGTGTCAGAAATGGGGATACAACAGACAGCCAAACATGCTATGTGTCATTATGCGCTGCAGACTTGCTTTTGGGGGCACCAACAGTGATCTGGAATCGGAGTTAAAAACATATCAATGCTAATTCCTTTAATCATTGTCTGTCCAACAACCACTCACTTTACTTACCTACCAAACAGAGCATTAAAGTTATGTAGTTGATCACATCCAGCATCACTGTTCAGTGTGGTTTGATCTTTTTTTTTCCGTAACCACACCCAGCTGTGATGTCATAGTGTACTGACACATCCTGGAGTACACGTCTACATCACTGCAGCAATGTGAGAAATTAAAAACAATGGAGGTCAGTAACAACAAGATTTTCAACTGCTATTTTTAGCGTCATCTGCTGATAAATTACGTTTCCTTGTGTTATCAAATGGACTAATTCTTGACTTTGGAATTCATTTCAATGTGATCTTGAGCTTGTCCTGTGTAATTCCACTAACTCCCTCCTAGGAGCCGAAACCAGGAGGGTTGGAAACACCTGAGGTTTATTATTTTGCTGTTAAATCATAAATTGCTTCTCTTCTTTTAGTCTCTCTGAATGTTAAAAGGACACCTGTTCTCATTCTTTTGGAAAATACCTAGCTCCCAATGGGGCACCCTGATTGCTCACTTGGTAGAG